GGAATATTTCAGAGCGGAATTTGTTTGCACCGTAAACTGAACGAACACAGAAAAAATGACGTCCTGGTTTTCATGACGTTTGGAAAAACCATGGCGTTCCTCATGCATTTCTTCCACATCTGGACATCGTGGTTTTTCCAAACCGTTATGAAAACCAGGACGTCTTTTTTATGGACGTCTATAACGGCTTTGGGGCAGAACGGAACGAACTCTTGGACAGGAACGGGTAACGACGGGTTTCTATGCTAATGTAAAATAAGAAGGTACGGAAAGAAGGGCCAACCATGGGCTGTTGCTGCACGAAACGACCTTCCGTTGCCGAAAACACATCTCCATTTTCTCTCCCATAACCTTCGTTCTTCCTCAAAGAACACATTGTCTAAAAATCACCCACTTTTTCAGAAATCCGCCGTACACTAAGAAAAGCTGACGTCAAATCTAACCGTAAAGCTGCAGTGGACCATGCAGCTTTGAACCTAACGGTGAATTTGGACCGTTCACAGTATAAGCTTGGGTTCACTGCATCTTGCGGGAAATTCTTCGTATGCTTTTGGCAGTGCACTCTACCGACCGCACTGTGATGTTACATCGTGTAACTCATGTCTAATTCATTATTTTCTTTGATTTCAGGTCAAGATTTGGTTCCAAAACCACAGGTATAAATGCAAGAGACAAGCCAAGGAGAAGGCTATGGCGGAACAGAACGCACAGAACCAGGTGGGCATCTATTTCGATTGTACAATATGACACTGAGTGCCCCGAGGGAAGAGGCAGTAGGTACGCACATACAGCTTCTCTTTTCTCACTAAAACAAAAGAGAGAAAAAAATCTGTCAATTTCTGCTTATTTTCTCAGGGCCATAATTTTGTTATTCTTTTCATTTTGCTCAAAAAATAATTTGGACATATTCCATTTCTTTTTCTAATCATTTAAACTCTTTACTATTGCATTGCACGCAAAACTACGTCCATTTTCTTTTTCTTGCACTCAATCGTGACAATATTTCGTACATGCCTACTCGATGTGAGGTGTGGTTAGGGGTACAGCTGTTGGTGGTTTTAGGTCTCGATCCGTCAAAGCCACCAATAGCTGATGTCCCCCAGCCGTGGCTCTGGCCCCAGTGTTTGAGGGACTGTCTTGTTCCAGGAGCAGAGTTCACCCAGAAGAGTGGCGGTGCCAGTGCTCGTCAAAGACGGGAAGCCCTGCTCTGAGGGTGGTGGAGGCGGTGGAGCCAACAGGAGTGGCGGTCCGTGTGGCCACAGCCCGGGCCTCGCCCCCAGCCTAGGGCCACATCCTCAGCAGCAGCAGCAACAACAACAACAGCAACAGCAGCAACAGCAACAGCACCAGCACCAGCAGCAGCAACAGCAGCAACAGCAAGCGTGCTCTAGCACAGCAGCACTCCTCAGCAATATGGCATATCAGAGACAGAACTTGCAACACCACCAACAGCAGGCCAATATGTGCCCTTCGTACGAAGTCAAGTACCTACCTCTGCAGGGCAGGGCGTGGTGAGGTGCAGTGGCGTGTGCAGACCCTACCGACAACCCCTCATAAGACCTCCACTGTGCGTGCACCCCAGCGCCTCCTACTAAAAAAAACCGTCCGGGCTAGGAGAAGCTACAAGATCGTACTTAAGCACTTATACTGGCCAATTCAATTGCTTAGTCGTAAGTTGTATTTCTATGTTGTCCTCCAGAGTTATTAATCACTTTCCTACTCGCAATAATTTATTCTTTGGGGATTTTTTTACATAAGTTTGAGTACGTTGATGTGTTTGTTAGTGATGTTGTTTTCTTAATGAGCAGGTACTTACTGTTAGGTTTAAATCAAAATTCCAAAAATGTTGCCTCAATTTTGTCAATGTTCTGGGTTAAAGTATGTGGATTAGGGGGAGAATATCGCATAGCGTCATCTGGAAATTAAGACGATGTAAATTTTGTGTTAGTTTCAAGAGTCTACAAATGTATTCTACGGGTTTATTTTTAATAACATCCGTCCATGAGGGCAGCCATGTTAGGAAAGTTCAATGTTGACTGTCGCTACTTACCAAAGGGAAAATCTGTACTGTATCGGCTAATTTTTGCTTTACATTCGAAAAAATAACTAGGAACGGGTGTCGATACCTCAGAGCGAAAACCGCTCAGTCTACCGAAGCGCTACGACAACCGCTTAGTCTGCCGAGCGGTTTGGACAACCGCTCATTCCGCGGAGCCGCTCCGACAACCGCTCGGTCAGTCGACCCGCCTCAACAACCGCTCAAATGACTTTTTTGACGAAAAAATTTGGATTGCACCATCGAAAAGAGCATGGTCCAATTAGTCGAAATCGGTCAAAACATGAAAAATGTCAAAAAAGTCATTTGAGCGTTTGTTGAGGTGGGTCGGCTGACTGAGCGGTTGTCGAAGCGCCTTCACGGAATGAGCGGTTGTCCAAACCGCTCGGCAGACTAAGCGGTTGTCGTAGCGCTCCGGCAGACTGAGCGGTTTTCGCTCTGAGGTATCGGTGTGCGTTTCGTGTTTTCCTTTTTACCAAAAGACACCTCAATGATCTATGCAAACTCCTGTATCTATTTCGAAGGCAATCTTTAGTGGAGTAGCTACATTATAGAATTCGGCAAATCATTAGCACGCAAAGGATTTGACCCGCTCGGGCATCAAAAATTTCCCTTAGGGAATATTTTATAAGCCTTCAAAATTAATATTGCGCCTTCCGGGGGTCCGGGTAGGCAACCCACCACACACGCCCCCGTTTTCCGCGCTTCCGACGCCCTAGAACGGCCATACTAGGTACACACCCAACCTGGCAGTCAACGTAATCTTCAGAACTCTCCTGATTGGTGAATACAAAAGACATTTTTTCCTACATGCAAATGGAAGTAGTGCGGTTTGTTGAGTTTGAGGCGTTTCATGTCAAAAAGTCAAAATATTTACCAAGCAATATATGGCAATCTTGGCAATTCGGTGTACACTTTTAAAACAAGTTGAGGCCCCCCTCGGTGTGATTGTTTTCACGATAAATTTGTTTCACAATACTTCCAAGACTTGGACAACAACATAACTAAGAACCGGGCTGATTTTGGATAATTAGGGAAAATATGGGCGGTAGTAGACTTCTGTCTTTGACGCCACTATGATTCATCAGTACCTTAAACATATTTTAGATAGAAATAATTCGAGATTTTTTCAGGGATTAAGGGGGCGAGTAAGGTGGGTCCTCACAAAGTGACGCGCTCACTGTACATATCTAATGTGATAGAGAAGTGACCTGTAAATATGTACGAATATATGTAAGTTTGTTAAAAGTTTATGATGTTCTTATAGGCAATACAAATCATTACCATGACTTGTGTTGGTGCAATGATAAAATTATATGTATATTTAAAATTGTAAAATTGATAACTATTACATTTATTATTTATTCATTAAACCGATAGTCGGTTTCCAGTCACGTTTTAAACAGAAAAAAAGAACCAAAAAGTGTAAAATGTGTTTATTGTGTCCGCACGGACAAGGAAAAGCGGTTTAGTCTTAAAATTGAAATGAACTGTTATTTGTATATCTTATAGACATCATTGCAAATTCATGAAGGTGAGAATGTTTGTATTGAACGCTGTTTTGCTCCGAGTATTTTGTAATTTGCCCCTAAACAAAACTGAGAAACATTTTAGCTTTGTTGTTTCTTACTCGCGTCGGCTTTTTAAAGAAGGCCCAGGGCCTGGACAAGGTATTGAACTGAAAAACTTGTTATGTGAAAAATCTTGAAATAGCAGTGGAAGTTTTATTAAGGAGGCGAGTTTATTCTATTGCTCCCACGCCAGATTGTGATTCATTGCTACTAGATGATTTTATGTCGTTAGCAGCGTTTTTCTAGGCATATATTTTTACGTAAAACATGTGATTTTTTTACCATTCCAGTTTTTTTTTTCTTAAGGAAATGTGGAGGCGGAACCCAGGATTTTGGATACCGTCCCTTGTAGCACCAGACATTCAAAACTCACAACCTTCACAGAACGTGAATCGTTCCGTGAATGATCTGTGCTGTACCAGGGGCAGTACCAGAACTGAATCCACTCACCTCAACATCAAAAGATATTGGCTTTTTGTTCACCAGGATACCGAGCTAATCGCAGGCATTATATTTTAAAAAAATAACAATGTAATGACTTTGTTGCCGGGTCTCCACGATTATCGAAAATAAGCACTTTACTTAGCAATTCCGACAAACGTCGACACTGGTCAAAGTTTTCTCATTAGAATGTATTATTTTGTAAAGATGGAAAGTAAATGTATGATTGTATGCTGTGATTTTTAAGGTTCGTACATCTCATTTGTACCTCGCCATAGGAACGATTGAAAATTAATTAAATATCGTTGAAATCATGGCAAGCTTGGCTATTACAATTTTTTGCAGCCCACAACAGGCCACAAACGGGTTTACAAATCATTTTTCCCGACATCCTACATAATTCGAGTAGGAGGAACACCCGCAGCCTGCAGCGTGTCTCTCAATAACCCCCACCGGCTAGACATCCCGCTGCGTAACAGCCCAAATCTGAGATGTTCACGCCATTTCGTTGACAAAGCAGACGCCACAACCCACTTATCCCAACAGGATGACTCTGCCCACCCCAAGCATCCCCCCAGTGAGTGAGAATAGGAGAGAGAGAGAATCAAATTTTTGACGTCGTTCTGGCCCGGCCGAGCCCAATCTAGGGGCCAACCCCTGCTTGGCACCGTACACTTTGAGGAAGGGTGGCTTCCTGAGGGCCACAACAAGATGGGGCCTTGTTAACGAGAAAAAAATGTCGCAAAAAGTGGTATTTTTTTATTTACTCCAGGAGACCCTTTACTTACAAACACAGGCAGTCCGCGCAGTTGACGTGAAACCAAATGTTTTCTGGTCCATTCTCGGATCACGGCCAGACCATGAGCATGAGCCAAGCCCACCGCGGGGGACCCACCAGGGGACCTTGCAGGACGGATTGTGTTCGCATTGTTATCGCCCTAATCCCTATGCCCCGGCCGAGCGGCCAGGTTAACAACATAAAAGGCAGCAAGCGTGTCAGGCGCGTGTCCGCATAGGAGAAGCAATAAAGCGCGGAAGGGAGAGAAGGGGTGAGAGGCGGGGGAGGCAGGTTGGGAATACAGCACTTTTTAATTGGTGCGTACATGCAGCTCGTTATCCATGTCACGTGACCTGCACCTCCTCCCAATAACAAGTCACGGCAGGAGTCCAATCTACCGCTCCACTATCAAACACTCAAATATCAAAAGCTTATACATCGCTGTACACACTGGAACCTTATGAACTTGTTTATTTTGCTTAATGGATTTAGGTTTAATGCAGCGTATCCGCATGTTTTTATATTGCTTGTATGAAAAAGTTTGTTCATGGTGTATTAAAAACCGCACCAGAGGATAGAAATAAGTAAGCTATGAAGAAACAAGTTCATAAAGATTTTAGTGTGCAGTCCTAGAATGCCAGCCGAAATCGTTGCGCGAAGGTGTTGACGTTTTATTTTATTCGAAATACATGTTATTGAATTTTAAAGGTGGATACAGAGTTCTTTGAACGCGAGCGTGATTCTCACGTCAGGCGTGATTTTCACGCTCGGCGTGATGAAAGTCGGTTCATGATTGGCTGCCAGAAGCTTACGAAGCGTGAAAATCACGCCTGCCGTGAAAATCGCGCTTGTGTTTCGTGAACTCTGTATTCACACTAAAACAACCCCTTTCTCAACATTATTTATTCTAAACACAAACTTTTACGCTGTGAGTTCATTTTACAAGTTTTGGTTGTTTTCAAATAAATATAGTTAAAACTGAAATAGAGTATTCTTACATTTATTGGACATTTTAACGCTCAGTTCTAACGGTGGACGAGTATAACGAGGTAGGAGGGGTGAAGGGTTTGTCCTTGGGCCTTAGGGCCGCGCCCACCAATTACAACACAAGGCGAGGCGTCAGCACTAACAACAACATCAATTTGTAAAAAGCAACAAACACGGCGCGCCGCTCTGGCCGCGCCCAGCGGTGCCCTGCCGGCTGCGGGGCGCGCTGTGGGGGGCGACCGAGACGATCCACGTGACAAGGCACGAATCGTTCAACGCATAAAGAGGTCATTGTTATACACTGCTAAAAGTCTATGTACGAAGAATTTACTTTGCAGAACTGCGAAGGATTTATCTCCTTGTTAATCTACGAAGAAATATTTGCAATTGCAAAGCTGAACTCTACAGGTCAGGTTATTCAATTTTCGGTTGCAACTGTCCAGCTTCACAATTGCAAGCTTACTTCGCATTTGCAAAGCCTTCTTCGTAGATTACAAAAGATCTAAATCCTTCGCAGTTCCGCAAAGTAAATTCTCCTTGAAGACTTTTAACAGTGTACATTTGTTCGTTTTCATAACTTCCCGTGCACAAAACTAGAGATCTAGAATATCTCGAGAAGAGATAATTTGAAGGCGCGGTAGAAAGAAGCAATTGAGATTTTGGCGAGATGTCGTAGAGACATTTTCTGAAACTTAATGCAGACAAATCGTTCCGAATTGAATGACTCCATAATGTGTATTTCCCTCCTTGAGGTAGATACAGTTTTGAGCCGCTCTATAAATTTTTGATAATGGGCGAAGAAGAATACACTCAAACCCACCAAAACTAACGAGCGCTCGCACCGAGATGCGGCCGCCGGGCGGAGACGAACCCAGAACTTGTCACCTTGCGAGTATTACTCAAACAGCAGTTCGTAGGCGAACCGAATTAAATTGAGGTTTTAGAAAAGATGCGTCATGTAAGGATGTATGGGTGTATGGGGGCAGTGGCAGATTAATAAATAACTACAATTTTAAACGTTAGTGGAACTATTGTAAACCAGCATGGATAGCTTTTCTAACTCATAAGAAAAAGAATTACAATATTTGTTCGTGTTATCGGAACGAATTTGAACATTACATTGATCGGTTCAGTTCGTTCGAAGAGAGAAAATGGTTGTTCGTGTTCGTTCGAAGATTTTTAAACGAAATTTGTTCGAGTTCGTTCAAATTCGAAATGGCCTGTTCGCTTTACACATCTATGCCTCAATGCAATTTGACTTGTTTCAAGAGTTTATTTTTCTGGGTGTAGCCTTTCGTCGACGCACGTGAATGGTTGGAGCAGC